GAAAAATCACTTAAAAAATGCATGTGATACCCATGTTAAAAGTCTCAAAGAAATGATGTTTTTACCTACATTTTTTTTTTATCAAATGTAGGGCCTCTTGCACTTGAGCCTTCGGGCTAGTGGCGTCAGATCACGTATAGTGCATTCCCTCCTCCCCATGATAACGGTTCGAATCTGACCCCTTGTGAATTTGTTCAAAAAAAAAAAATATAGGGCCTCTTTTTTGGTTAACAGCGATTACCTAAACGTAGGAAAAGTATTTTTTTTATTTGTTTGGCATCTCACTATTTTTTTAGTTATTAAAACACTATTTATTTGTTGACAAAACCATTTAAAATTAGAGTATAATTAATCAAACCAAATATGACATCACTTAATAAAAAAATCTACACAAAGTTGACATATTAAATGTCTGATTTTATCATATCCAAAGAAAGACATAATAACAATATTATCGAAATATTTTTAAGTTCCAAAAGCTTAGTAAACCAAATGCTACCCCTAAAAAATGATAGAAAATGATATCTAAACAACATTTAACAACATCTAAGAGTATCCAAAAGCTTGAGTTGCTAAATTTAAACACAAAATAGTTAGAAAATAACATTGTTGCTACCAACAATTAAACTCATTGTAGCTTTGAAATATCATATACAAATGCTCTACATTATTGCCATTAGTAGCATCATTACTTATGCATGACTTGGAAAGGTTGACACTCCTAGTTGACCTTAAAATGCAAACAAGATATAGTTTAAGTTGTGAAAAAACATTAACTAATCTAATACATCTCATTATTAAAAGTCCAAATTCAACAAACAAACAAGTTGAAACAAATAGCTTACTCTTAACTTAATTTCCTAGTTAGATTGATTGCAATAAAAGAGTGAGTTCGAGTTTATAGCTAGGAGCTAAGAGCTACAAGCACCTTAATTTCTTACTCTTACCTTTCATTTTCAATAACTTATGGCTGCTCAATATGTGGAAGATTGAAACAAACAACCTAATTAATTGGGTCACTCCATGATCTTATTGGCTTAGGCCTTGGATACTAGCTGTATTGGTTTCACTTATTTGATTTATGCCTTAGGTGTTGATTGCAATGGTCTAAGTTGGTTGGTTTTGGGTCTTGGCTGAAGTGCCTCCACTTTTGCTATTGTTTTGTGTAGAAGATCTATTACTCGGATCATTCTCACAAACAATAATTTTGTGCAGCCTTTTTCTTGGTCTCCCTATCTGTCAAGTTTTAAGAAAAATGGAAGAAAAAGAGTAGTGATTAGTCATACCACTCAAAAAAAAAAAAAATAATGGTATGTGAATGAAATGGAGTAGTAATTTATTGAAAGTAATTGAATACCGTAAAACCACCTATCTTGATCTAAATCAAAGATTTCCTCTAATAAGCATTGTAGGCAACACATGAGTGAATGTAATAATCTTGAATAGAAACCAAAATGACAACAAACACGCACTCAAAATAGAAAAAGAAGCTGTCTGCTTTGCTTATTTACTTAAAGCTCAAAGAACTCTCTTAAATGAAACCCTTAAAACTCTCACGTTAAAATTATAGGGCCTAATTCTGTTCAAGCCCAATTGAAAGTCCAATCACACTAGGACTTAAACCGATTTCAACTTCTCCATTGAAATTACCATGGGAGAGGGTATTAGATATATATAAATAATGTTGAGATATTCACTCACATCAATAGGCACTTTTATGAAGCCACAAAAGTACTTCAGCCATGCCATAACAGAACACATATACTTTTCTAAGGGTTCCAAGAAAATCATGTAACATAGAGCAAGCAAAAGAAGAACCATGATAAGCATGCAAATTGCATTCATGTTAGAGAAAAGTGTGAGGTTCAAACTACTCCAACAAAACAAACATCCAAAGAACCAACAACTTGGTAAAAAGGAAAATAAACAGCTTTTATTTTGTGATCATAGATTCAAATTCAATTTACAATTATAGAAGTCAATAATACTAAAACTGCACGTTATTGGATTTAAAAAGAAAATAACTACATAAAAGAAAATAACAAAAGGTAACAATCTATTCTAGTTGATGCTTGTAAAACCTTGTGAGGCTAAGAACAATACCATTCAAGCTCTCAAAAGTACTTAAGAACAAATATTAAAAGTACAAAAAATAATATCAATGTCTACTTTGAGTTTGACTAATTTTTCATCCAATGCCAATTGTATCTCTTGGTGTCATTTTAAGAGCAACATAAGAATTAGAGGCAAATAGATCTTTGATGTAAAACACTTGTTGCACTTGAGATGGGAACATAGAAGGCTCATGGCTAATGAGTTCCCTAGTATGAATCAAGGGGAACACCAATCGAAATCCACAATATCTCTTCCTATTTTGATCTCTAATCTCTAACTTCTATTTATTTTGGCTTAATTTCTATTTATTTGTTATACATGTTCTTTTTCTTTTAAAGTCAACAATTTTGAGAAACATAAATCATTGGAATTCCTACCTCATGCTATTTTATTTTAGGATATTAATTAGTTATAGTTACTGAAAGAAACCCAACTTATTCATATAAACATTCTATGAAAATGATATGTTTTGATTTTGAACTATATTAAATGTCTTTACCATAATGGTTCAGTCTAAAACCATATATTATTTTGAACCATAATCATTGATTAATCAATAATAAAAACCCAAGATCAAATAAGCGAACAACCTAAGTGGCTCAATGAAAACTCTTTCCTATAACAATTAAATTTGAGTTATAGGTATACAAATAAAACACATAAAGAGATGAGAAAATATTACCTTCTACTATCATTATGCAGCCTAAAGAAAATTAATCATTATCCCTACATATTAACTCCTTACCAAGATTTAGCAAAAAAAAAAAAAAAAATTCCATGCTAAGCACAAATTGTAAACTCTACTAAACTTCCAACATTGCTCAATCAAAAATACCATAGACCACTGACAATGACATACTTTGCCACACATAACTTTGATCCTTAATTTTGCATTTTGTCCATAGTATAAGCACAAGTATTGTAGAGAAAATGAGCTTTAAATAGTGTCATAACCCAATTTTAATTGGGGTTGAATGCTAAAATCAGAAGTCAATGGACTATTTTTGTAAAGTTAGGAACTTGAAGGGGTTAAGAAGAGAAAATGGCAAAACGATATTGTTTTGCCAATGGGCTAAAAAATAAAAGGCTGGGATTTTAGTTGAACCCTAGCCTTCCCTGTTTTTTTTCTCTCTACCACACCTCCTCTCTCATCAACTCCAGCACGATGCCAAGAAGATATCTTTGAAGATAAGCTCAGTCAATTGAAGGATTTGAATAAAGATATACTAACTATAAGTCATCAACTCCAAGGAGTCCGAAATTGATTCAAGGTGGGAGTCCTTATGCATAAAGGTATGAATTTAGACTTAAAAAGGGGTAAAAGTGAGAAGAATTAAGAAATCTCATTCCAAATAGGATTGGGTGGTTATCTTAGGGATTTGGATTAGATGTTAAAGGCATATTAAGATTGGGCTTTCCTTTTGTCTATAAAAAGGAGCGCCTTCGGCATCTAAAAGGGGGAGATTCAAAAATTGGGGGAAAGGAGAGCCGAGAGATTGAGAGAAAAGGAAGATTGGAGAAATAGAGAGAGAAAGAGAGCAGAAAAATAGGAAAAAGACCGCAGAAAAAGAAAAAGGGAAGGAAATCTTGTACTCTCTTTAAAGTTTCTTTCTGCAAACAAATAATATCAAATTTCTACACTTCTTCAGGTGTGTGTTTTTTTTATTTCCCTTTCTTTCGTTATTGGTAATTTCTGGTTTTTTTTAATTGTTTCTTTTCATGGTTTATCTTCACCTTTAATATTTTTATTCTTCATTTGTTTCTCACATGTTTTGTTTGTCAAGTCATAGGTTTTTTTTTTTTCTTTCTTGTTTCATTCATGTTGTTCGTCACTTTGCTACCAATATGGCTTTTTTTTTTGTTTTCTTTAATTAAATTAGATTTTTTTTACTAAAAAAGAAAAGAAACAAAAAAAGTAGAAACAAAAAAAAGAGGAAAAAAACAAAAACGGAGAAACAAAAGGTAAATGATAGATTTTCTATTTAAGTGATTTTTCTTTTCTTTTTTTTTTTTAATTTTGGAAATTATGATATAAAATTGAAAAGTTCACAAAATTAAAACATGTGGTAACTATATTATATGGAAGTTGTGAGATGCCTAACACCTTCCCCACGCTTCATTGACTCTTTGAGTCTAGTCAATTTTTACGTAGGCCTTGGTGATCTATCCCACCTTATTTGAATAGATGACGACACAATCCATTTTGGCACGTCAACAAATAGCTATGGGTATGATGAAGCAGTTAAAATAATCCTTCATTTTCTAAGTAACCAAAAGACCAATTATCAAATAATAATAATAATAATGCAAGCTAAGAAACACAAAAACTCAACAAAACTG